AGACAAAAAACCCCATGTCGTATAGTCGGCTATAAAAAAACCGATATGAAAAATGTGAAAAAATTCAAACAAGATAACTAAGTAAACGACCTAATTTTTAACAATACAATTACGATTAATCAAGCTCTTGAAAAGCGTATCAACCGGAAATTTTTGTCTTTGATTTTATCTGCAATTGTAAGCCCCGCACTAAAAGTTCCTCTTTGTGTATTGATAATTACTCAAAAAATATATGATATTGCGAATCATCTTACCGAATCCTGTTGTTCCTAGGTCAAAATAGACACATGTCGTTGCTCTTAATGGTATGGGCCTAGCTTCAGCTTCTGGTTCAGGTGGAGGTATAAACTCAATGTTATTGTCATCAGTGTTAGTACTGCTAGTAGCTGATGATACGCCCGACTCATACGTTTTCCCTTCTCTTATTTCTTTTGATTTTTCTTTCTTTATTTTTCTGCCCTTTTCGACAATCTTTTCAACTTGGACGTTCTTGTGGTCTCTTTATCTCTCTCTGATTTTCGCTTTCTCTCAAGACGTTGTCTTTGTAGTACAGTGTATTTTCCAGGAGATAGATGGTGAATTTCATTAACCTTTGTAAGTATAGATCACATGTTCGACATTAATTGCCATAGAAAGCAAGAAAATAAAGTTTCATATAGACAGTAATATTCTTATTTGGTATTTTCGTCGCATTCATTTAGTTTGTTCCTTCAGATAGCTAACGTATATATATTGTATTTTTGCCAATTTTAGATAAAAGCAAAATTTCATTTTAAGATTTTAGGACGATGAACGCATTTAAATCATGTATAAAACTTTTTTTTAATTCGGAAAGATACTGAATTTTATATATAGTAACAATTCCCTTTGCAATAGGTTTACATACAAGCATCTGTATTTGAAAAATATAGAGTTCTAAGGGGATTAATTTGAATAAATTTAGGGGTCATTCTTTTTATTACATTATATCGTGAGACAATTTCCTTTCTCTCTCCATAAAGAAGATATATATCATTAAATTTTTAAATCAAGTGCATTTAACATGTGTGATCATGAATTCTGTTTTTTTTAATGTGTGTAAATCCAACAAAGAAAAGTTGTAAAAGCGAGAAATCCTGACGACGTCAAGGAAATTTACATTTGATGCACGGCGTAACATCGTCTATGTCCTTTATGTAAAAAAAAACGGAGAAATTTTGGTTTTTATCTTTTAAAAAAGCATTAAAAAAATTAAATCTGCTGAATTCTGGTTATGCATAAAATATAAAAAAAAGTCTAATATTCTATTTCATTAAGTTGTATAGCAATACTTGCCTCTGTAATATACGAGCGACCCTCGTTCTTCTGGGCAACACCAGAGGCAACACGGAACGCCAAAGACTCACTGCCACCAAAATGTTTTGCTTTTGGTGCCTTCATAGCGATCATATAGTTCAATGACTCATTTCCTTGAGAACTACCTAGATGCGACAATTTTTCAGAGTTGGATGCATATGTTTCGAAAAGTTTGTTAAGATCATTCTTCAATTCGTCTCCAGTCAAATTTTTACCGTATGGTAGACTTTTGTGTTTGTATGTGTCAGGATTTTTGTGATAGTGGCACCACGTCTTGTCACACAACAGATGGTCTCCAAATGCATGAGGGATGATGGATTTCAACACTTTTTTAGATTTTCTGAATTTCCTTTATTTTGAGAGAGAGCATAAGAAACATCTTTTGTGAGGTAGTTTACAACATTTATCGAAATTCTGTGCTTTTCCTGCAGTCCTATCAGGTCTCGCGATACTTTTTTGCGAACATGGTTTCTGTCACTAAATTTCATTATTTCAGCATTAACCTCTTTACGGAGTCTGGCAATTGTTGTGCTGTCATCATCCATAGTTATGCTGCTTACTTCACAGCCTGTTTTCTGTATTTCCTTCACCATTTGCACTGCCAGCTCAGATTCCATGGATTTTGCACTTCCTTGGTGATTTATTCTGCAATCATGGCCATCTCCTTTTTCATCTACACGGTCGCATTTCCTGCAATCCCCATACTTCAGACCAAAGTTTACACATTTTCCAGTCTTCTCCCCTAATAGTGTTGCATGTCCTAATGAAATAAAATGATTAGATTACGCATTGATTCTTCTTGAACAGAAAAAAAGTGTAATTGCTTTGTATACGACAACAAGAAACAAAAATATGTGATGAATGTACATGTATTTGAATTTGAAATTATGAAATGATTCTGATTTATGAGAGACTGTTATAACATCTACCACTACCGCGTTTTTGCCGCGCACCATCAAACGATACATGTATTGCATCTTTTCCATCTGCTTCAGTTTCCTCATTGTCTGCGATATTAGCAGTGGTTTCTCGGGTATTCTAAGTGGGAAAGAAAAACAGTTTAATCGGTTTACACAAATTCTATTATAAGAAAAAAAAAACAATTTTAATCCGTGTTAACTGCTTCTTATTTTCGTATTCAAAATATTATCCGTGATAACGAGTTTTATCCGTGATCACGTTCAAAGTATGATTTTAGTTGGTCCTAAATAGGCATACGTATATAGAGGGAAAACACTTATCATAGCTTGATTTACTGCAATAACCAACTTAAATATATCAAATATGATTTTATTCCACGACTGAGAACAATTATTTTATATGCAAGTTTATGACACATTGAATCACACGTGCCCAAAAAGTAAATGCCTCAGATGAAATATATAGGGACTGTCATATATATAAACTCTAAATAAGATAGGAATTTTAAACTCCTTGTTGAAGAACGGCATTAAAACGGAATCGTTAAAACAGATGCAAAGATTCAATGTCACACAGAGCGAAATGGCAGAACATTTTAGCGATAAAAATAGAACGTTTGAACGCAAAAGTATAGGACATTTCAGCGCCGATATTAAGGGCATTTGAGCGAAAATAAAAATAAGCTGACTATGCAGTATGGGCTTTGCTCATTATTTAAGGTTGTACGGTGACCTATAGTTGTTTATTTCTGTATCATTTGGTCTCTTGTGAAGAGTTGTCTCATTGGCAATCATACGACATCTTCTTTTTTAAATAAGCTATTTAAAATTTAAAAAAATGGTAAAAAAACGAAGCCATAAAATTAAAAATATCAAAACTCGGCAATGTTATTATTTACAAATCAGTTCGGGCTTGAAATTTATGTCTCTTAGCTTTGAAACGCTGCTAATGCCTTCAGTTTTTAGGTTTGCCTCATCAATTTCTGTACTTCGGTACTGATAATTTTCGAAGGACGTTGAGCTATAACATCATCGGCTTTACGTTTTGCGATTACTCGGATTGATTGGTAAGAAAAGATCAACGAGGACTAAACTACCATTACAACTAGAACAGGTCAAATTTCCCGGTTTTAAAATTAGAGTATATACATTTTTAAAAACTTTCTCTTTTTCTTACTTTTTAAAAACATTTTATCAATTCATATAAAAGTACCACAAGAAATTTCGCTCAAACGTCCTATTTGAAAATCAAGGTAAGGTTAATATTCCGGCGCTAAAATGTCCAGTGGTGTCGGCGCTCAAATTACCCTATTTGCATTTTCCCCCGCTCAAATGCCCTATATATGCCAGTGTTCACCCTATCCCTTCTGTTAATGTGCATATTTTTTAAGTAATGTAATCATTATCAGTGGCGGATCCAGGGGGGGGGGGGGGGGGGGTTGGAACCCCCCTTTTGTTGATGATAAATGCATTTTGAATGGGGACATATAGTTGGAACCCAACCCCTTTATCCCCCCTCCCCCCTTTAGAAATTGCTGGATCTGCCCCTGATTATTATCTCTTATGTGTGAGCGATTGCTTTTTATTGAAAGCATATATATATTTGCTGTCAGTCACAAGTTATATCTGGTTTTGTAGATTGTGTAACATTCATTCATAATGGTGTATTTTACCTACTTGCTCATTGCTATTTCTTTTTCTAAATCTTTCTGACATGACCATTTAGCGTAATCCTCAAGGGTTTTTCCAATTTCTCTTTCTCTGGATTTCAAAGTGGTAATACTGACAGCAGGTAAGTTGAGAGCAGTTATAAAGTTCACAGTTTGGACTGGGCCCATTCCTGCATCTACATAGGCTAAATGAAGATATGTTTCTCATTACGTTTTAGAGCTATTAAGAGCAATTCTCTGTAACCACCAAAGAAATTCTAATAGGGTCTGGCACACATGGTCTCAGATTTTGATGAAACTTTTATATAATAGCCAGTACCATACCTAAAGGCAATAACAGGCAACAAATTGTTCCGGAATATTCCGGTTGCCATGGAAACCACATAGGTTGATTTTAGCAATAAAAGGTCATATTTTAACTATTGAAAAAGTGAAAAAACGACATTTTGCACTGTTTAGTACTTGATTTATGTGTAACATATCCTTTTTTTCTGAATAATATAATATAACTGACCTTTAAGCTGTTTGAAATTCACATATGTTTTACTTTTACCATTATCAGTTATTTTGCTACCAGCTAGTAAAGATATGCTAAAATGGCAAATTTAGATTTCAGTGAAAAATGCGTAAATACAGGGTATTCAATGGAATTTTTTTCTTGAAGGCAGCATCTCCTAGTAAAATGTTAGGTATATTTAGAAAGAACCAATATAGGTCTTCCAGAATATAAAATAAAATCAATGGGCAAATAATTGCAAAAAATATTTTTAATGAATGAAAAACACAAGATTTTCAAATTCTGTAAATTGTATTTTTCTACAAGTCAATAATGATCCAAGTAATTTCCATATTTAAACATTACAAAGATGGCATTAAATTTCTTACAATTTAACAAAATTGATCAGTTAAATTTTACAGTCCAGAAAAATAGTTTTGTTTAATGAAATTTAATAAAAATGATTGCTATGGTAACCGAATTTCGAAAATTTTACAATTTTTTTTTCTTTCTAAAATTCAGTATGTATCTTTACATTTTTAAAGATTTAATTTTGTAATTGAATACAGAGGAAAGAAAGAACTGATTGTGCATATTAGTTTTTAACTGATACAGATCAACAAAGTTTGCTATTTATAAAGCAATGTGGGTAAAATGCTGGTCCGACTTAAATATTTAAAATAAAGTAAAACACCTTCTAAGTACATGCAAATTTCATTATATTAAACTCATATTGGTGCAATCATGTGTAGGTAATTTAGGAGATAACTGTATTGTATTTTAACCTTTTCGGACATAAAACGTAGATATTACTGTCGCAAATTGAGTTTACCTAGTGACCTGTAGCAGAGCTAGGTAAACGGATAATTGCAACAGTAAAAGCTAGATTTACGTCCACAAACCTTAAAATACAATACAGTTATATCCATTCTAATGCAAAAGTCAATAAAGATATTGTTTCTGTTTTTTATTTGGACATATAGTTGCTTAAAATAAAAATTCCACAAAATGTTGTTGACTTCTTTGGCACATAAACTTCATAGCAACATCATGACGTCATATGAATACTTCAAGTGTAAAACTGTAACATAGTATGTTTTGGGGCTTTGTTTACGCTTCAAATTTGGATATAAGCTATTACAAAGTAGTTTAAGGTAGGCGTTTTTTTCTCTATTTCGCCTATTTATTGGGAAAATATAATGTCGTTGAATCCAATATGGCTGCTTTTTGCATCCTTTCAAGATAAATAAAATAAATCCGTCATGAATTCTTTCTGTTTGATGCTAAAGAAAATCTTTTTCTTTTTCACTTTCAATGCCCATCACATTTCTTTGGCACTCAAGTCTGTAGTACATGCATTTTCTAGTAAGACTGCTTGCATATCAGGACAATGATGTACATTATTTGACAGCTTTTGGGCATATAGAACTTTTGCCTGATCTTTTAATGGGCCTTTCTCTAGCTTATATTCACAGCTGCCTTGAAGGAGGTGTTGATCAAGACTAATCTGGTTCTTGAACTCTTGAATGCAGCCATCCATAGAACAAATGAATGTCTGCTTCTGTTGTTTTGAAGCCTGTTCTGTTCCTAAAAAGAGGATAAATAAAATAAAAATTGTTTCCCAAAAAAATAGAAAAATTCAAATTTACTACATTAACCAAGTTCAGTTCCAATTGGCCAGTTGTATCAGAAGATTTTTTAAAAAGTTTATGCCAGACGGACTCAAAATGGACCAGGTGACCTAAAAAGGACAACGATACAACATGTATAAATTTCTCTTTCAACAATCGACAGCCTGATTATCTATAATAAGATTCTGTCGATACCCATAATCCTGTAACCCACAAGCAGGAAATTTTAATGATGCATAAAAATGTTTATTGAGTTTTGTGTTGGTTTTTATACGACCGCCAAAAAATTTTTGTGGTCGTATATTGGTATGACGTTGGCGTCGTCGTCGTCGTCGTCGTCCGGCGTCGTCCGAAGACACATTGGTTTTCGCACTCTAACTTTAGTTTAAGTGAATGGATCTCTATGAAATTTTACCACAAGGTTCAATACCACAAAAGGAAGGTTGGGATTGATTTTGGGGGTTATGGTACCAACAGTAAAGGAATTAGAGGCCAAAAAGGGGCCAAAAATAAGCATTTTTGTAACTTCCAGACATAACTTGTGTGTTATTGTATGGATCTCTCTGACATTGTACCACAAGGTTCCATATCACAAAAGGAATGCTGGGATTGATTTTGGGGGTAATTGCCTCAAAATTTTAGGAATTAGGGGCCAAAAAAGGGGCAAAAAACAAGCATTTTTCTAGTTTCATGACAATAACTTGTGTGTAAGTGTATGGATCTTTCTGAAATTGTACTACAAGGTTCCATATCACAAAGGGAAAGCTGGAATTGAGTTTGGGGGTAATTGCCGAAATGTTTAGGAATTGGGGGCCAAAAAGGGGCCAAAAATAAGCATTTTTCTAGTTTCCAGACAATAACTTGTGTTCAAGTGTATGGATCTCTCTGAAATTGTACTGCAAGGTACCATACCACAAAGGGAAGGCTGGGATTGATGATTGGGGTGATGAATCATAAGGGGGTTCAAAAAATTTGGGGGGGGATTTTTTTTTTTTCCTTTTTTTCTTTTTTTCCTTTTTTTTTCTTTTAAAATTTTCCGTTTTAAGTTGGTTATTTCTGATTTATATTTAAAAGCAAATAATAATGATATGGTAGGAGATACACACCAAACAGGATGTGTAAATTATTATATAATAAGTATTGTGCAATAGCAAGAAATTTTCAATTGCACAGTATTGCACAATAGCAAGAAATCTTCAATTGCACAGTATTGCGCAATAGCAAGAAATCTTCAATTGCACAGTATTGCGCAATAGCAAGAAATATCCAATAGCACAATATTGCGCAATAGCAAGAAATTGTCAATTGTACAGTATTGCGCAATAGCAAGAAATATTTAATTGCACAGTATTGTGCAAAAGAAGATACTTTGTATAAATTGCTTATTTCTTGACCAATTTCAATGGGGTTTTATTCTTGAATTCTTGGGGTTCTTTAATATGCTGAATCTAACCGTGTATTTAGTTTTTGGATTTTGGGCCCCGTTTTTAAATTGGTCCACATTGAGGTCCAAAGGGTCCAAAATTAAACTTTGTTTGATTTCATCAAAAATTGAATTATTGGGGTTCTTTGATATGCCAAATCTAACCGTGTATTTAGATTCTTAATTTTTGGTTCCGTTTTCAAATTGGTCTACATTAAGGTCCAAAGGGTCCAAAATTAAACTTAGTTTGATTTTAACAAAAATTGAATTCTTAGGGTTCTTTGATATGCTGAATCTAAACATGTATTTACATTTTTGATTATGGGCCCAGTTTTCAAGTTGGTCCAAATCGGGGTCCAAAATTAAACTTTGTTTGATTTCAACAAAAATTGAATATATGGGGTTCTTTGATATGCTGAATCTAACCATGTATTTAGATTTTTGATTTTTGGGCCCCGTTATCAACTTTGTCCACATTGAGGTCAAAAGGGTCCAAAATTAAACTTTGTTTGATTTCATCAAAAATTGAATTCTTGGGGTTCTTTGATATGCTGAATCTAACCATGTATTTAGATTTTGGATATTGGACCATAATAGGTGAATGTCCAATTTAAAATTTTTAAGTTCTTAGACCACATTCATTCTGTGTCAGAAACCTATGCTGTGTCAAATATTTAATCACAATCCAAATGCAAAGCTGTATCAAGCTTGAATGTTGTGTCCATACTTGCCCCAACTGTTCAGGGTTCGACCTCTGCGGTCGTATCAAGCTGGGCCCTGCAAAGCATTTTATTCTCGGTTGTTGTGACAAAATATAATAATGATCATTGTCTTACAAGTGTGCTTAAGTTTTTTACATGACAGTTAGTAAATGAAGTAATTATAAAATTACCTTCAGTAATGAGGTCATTAAAAGACATCTCTGTCCAGTCATTGGGTACTTTTAACTGCACAGAACAGTGGCGGATCCAGAAATTTTCATAAGGGGGGGCCCACTGACTGCTTAAGAAGGGGCCCGCTCCAGTCATGCTTCAGTGATTCCCTATATAATCAACAAAATGTTTCCCACAAAAGGGGGGGCCCGGGTCCCCTGAAAAACCCTCTAAATCCGCCTCTGCAGAATTCTTTGTTGATTTTAAAGTCACAAGCTTTCCTGAAAAAAAAATTGTAATTAAAGAACCTGTATTCATTTTATTGTTTGTTAAATTGATCAATATGGAAGTTTAAAAAAAATAACCAACTTCAAGATCATAAACTCTATAGATTTTTTATGCCGTTATGATATAAAATTATGGAATTTTTATAGCATCCATTCTAGTCTAGGAGTTTGTGGTCTTTTTATCAATAGGCTCAATGCAACCTTTTTATTAAGATGATTTAATTTTTTATGTTTTAAGATGAAAGTGCTGAGCTTATTGAATTTAGTATTGGTATTGCTTTTAATTGTCTTTATATACTTTTAACCTCTGAACCAGGATTTTGGAGGAGGGTTGAGTACTTATAGACTTCTTTTACCCACCTGTGTACAAGCCAGACCCTGTATTTTCAGTGGTTGTGTTATGTTTAAAACTATATGTTATTTGTAATCTGTTTTTTTCTTTATGTTGAATATAAAAGTAATACCTTCATCAATATTGTATGTCTGCCACATCCTCAAATGACTGCTCTCAAATCTAAAGTTGTAAAAACTTGTAATATTGGTTATTGTTTCTTTATTCTTGGTTACATCTAAATCAAGGATTGTGTCAACAACCTTCACCCTGTAACGCTTCCCTGGTACTTTATCAAGTGCCTACAAAAGATTGGATACTAAAAGAATTCTGATAGACACAATATAAAACAAGATGTGCTGTGAGTCATTGCTCACTAGTGATATCCCTGCTTTTTGAAAGGTAGCCATTAAACTTTCACATTGATTTGTGACAGCCTTTTTGATTTATTTTGTGAAAACTGTTTGTGACGGACAGACGGAAAGCTGATTACTATAGGGCTCCTATGTCTGAATTAAAAGATAAGATATCAAATAAAGTTAATGAAATATCTTATATCTAATTTATGAGATATCTTATAAAATAAATAAGATATCTTATAAACTAAACAAGAGGAGGCTCCGGGGTCCCCCACTGGTGCTAAAATATAATATTTCCATAAAGAACTTGTGACCTTGACCTTTGAATGACTAGAAACATCAAAATCAATTGGGATCTTCCTTACCTAATAACATTCAACTCTGTAAGTTTGAAGAAATAATATGAAGGTGTTCAAAAGTAACAGTCCAGAAACCGATTGTCAGCTGAAAATTCAACATCATTAAATATCTGTGACCTCGACCTTTGACCTATAAACATCAAAATCAATACGGATCTTCCTTACCTAATAAACATTCAACTGTGTAAGTTTGAAAAAATTATATGAAGGTGTTCAAAAGTTACGGTCCAGAAACTGATTTTGGACGGACGGACGCACGGACACCGGTATTTCTATGTCCCCTCCAGTGGACAATAAGAGATCTTATAAAATTGTTTTATAAGATATCTTATTAATTATATCAGATGTCCTATAACATTCATTCTAATGCAACATTCGTTGTAACGTACGTACGTCAAATTTCATTGGATAAAGTCGTAATTTTCAGGGTATATATCAATCTGAAGATTTGGAGCCATCAATCTATGATTTGATGGTCGCAAATATCCGTTTACTGGCTCCGCTAATGTGTCGCTAGTAAACTCAATTTGCGACCATCAAATCCATGATTGATGGCTCCAAATCTGCAAATTCAATACAGTAAGCTCCTAATTGGATATCTTGAAAATCTTATATCTTCTAAAGTTTATGAGATATCTTTATAAACTTCTTTATAAGATATCTCATGAAAGATATAAAATATATTATCATATACTTAGACTAAATAACATATGATTTTTACCATATGATAATAGCATTACATTTACGTATATTCCATATTTTTTCGAATTGGTGCTTAGCGGTCTGATATGAAAAGTTTATCACATGCTTCGACTTTTATCACATGCCTTTCTGTAACGTTATTCCGGTAATACTCGGCAAATTCTGGAAAATACACCTCAATGGTACGTTTTCAGTGAAAAACATTACAAAGTAGGGTACAAAATAATTATTTGTATACTGGAAAGTATATTGTGTAAAATGGAAAAAAAAAAAATAAACAAATGATAAAATAAATGCATTTTTAACATAATTAAGAAAGTTACTTTAAAAATGTTGACTTTTCCAAACAGTGTTTATTATGTATATTGTTGAATTATTTTTTTATCGTCCGTATTAAAATATAACATACTGGTTTTTTTTCTTCATTGTTGAGGCATATGATAGAAAGATTTCTTATCGATTGTACAACATTTGGGGTCTGACATCCATGATTATCTTACCTCCTATACATTTCTAGGAATATGATTGGTTTAAAGCGTCCGCGGGGAGACTGTGTATATTTCATATTAGGTTAGTAGGGAGGCGGGGCTTATTTCATACACGGTTAGTAGTGGAGTTACGTCCCTTTATATTCCATATAAGGTTAGAAGGTAGGCAGGGCTTATTTCATACACAGTTAGTAGTGGAGTTACGTCCCCTTTATATTCCATATAAGGTTAGAAAGGAGGCGGGGCTTATTTCATACACAGTTAGTAGTGGTGTTGCGTCCCTTTATAAAAACAAAACGGTATTGAGAAAACATCTTAAAGATTTCAACAGACGAAGAAATTGATTATTAAGATTGAAATGAATTCATAAAACACATTTAAAGCTAACAAGTTGTTATTGTTGGCAGCTGTTTCTGTAGGATCAATGAGAGAAGTTTCTTAATGCTAAAAGTATTGAAGACTTCAGTGCTCATTTTGATAGGTCACTAGTCTAAATTTCACACGTTAAGATAGTCGGTAAGATAAATTCGTTACATAGTGTGCTAGTGACGTAATACGGTATATATGGGGTCAGTAAATTCCATATGGGGATTCAAGCTTTGCTCTCACCCCATATGGAATTTACTGACCCCATATTTACCGTATTAGGTCACTAGCGCACTATGTAACTTATAATATTTCACTCTTTGAACTGCTATTTAAGAACCACGTAAAAAGATCAATATATTAATCTGTTATTTTTCTCCATTGTTGAAGCATATGATAAAAAGATCATAGCATGTCATTTTTCATATCACATGTATTATCAGCCCTCGGCCAATATCAGCCCTCAAGCCATGCGGCTCTTGGGCTGATATTAAACCTAGGGCTGATAATACATGCGATATGACAAATGCCATGTAATAATCTGATATTATACAAGATATCTTAAATACTTTTACAAGATATCTTATAAAGTCAAGTTTATGAGACTTCTTATAAAGTGTATGCAATGATAATATTTTATATACAGTTATACCTACCCTCTTTCTTTAAGGTGGTAGTATTTCAGCTTCTGCAATCTTGTTCTTTGTATTTGTCTCAATAGTGTTCTCCTAAATTAAAAGAAAAGAAAAACTTTTTAAGAATATTTTAAACAAGGTACTAATTGAAATTGGAACAATAATGAATTCTGGAATACACATGATAATATTGAAGCAAAAACCAACCTATCTTAGAGGGATTAGTAATATATGAATGGGTTAGGGTTCAGTTGAGGTATGTTTTATACACAAATGATTTAGAAATTTACCCTTAATTTACCCTCAATTATGCATGCATGAATGCATAGTTTAACCCCTATTGGCCCTAAGTGTACATGTAAATTAGATCAATTAAAATCTTGGTTTTTATTTTAATAGATTTTTTACTAATGCTTAATGATGAAACTAGTTTACCAAATAAAATGTGCAAAAGCTTAGTGAATATGAAGACCAAATTGGAACTTTAAAGTTTAATGTTATTTCTGAATTGAAAGATCTTCTTATTCTTGTCATAGTAAAACTGAGTACATATGCAGTTTGACATGTTGTTACAATATGGATCCCATACATACATAACATAACAATAAACTCACTATTGACTATTGAGTATACATGTGTACAGGGAATCATATTTATACATGTATATGAAAAGACATACCTCCTCAACATGCTCAATACTGTTATTTCCAAATAGTTTTTCTCTACACAGTCTACAAATTGCTGTAATATAAAAGAAAATAGATACACAATTGATCTCATTCTGTGTATCACTATCAAAACTATTTAGGCCAAACAAAAAAATATGTGTGTTTACTGTCACTTGCTGAAAAAAAAAGGGTAGGTAGGTAGAGATTTTTTTTTTTTTTTTACATTGAGTCTATGGGAGCAACATTGTGACTTTAACAGTACTTAATCAAAAATAGTAAAAAAAACTTTAGGGTAGGGGACAAAAATTAGGGTAAGTAGGGGTACAGTAAACCCACATACTTTTTTGTTGGGTCATATACTGAAATTAGGGTAGGTAGGTGTACAGTAAACCCACATACTTTTTTGTTGGGTCATATACATGTACATGTATGTACATAAAAACATGAATTTTAAAACATACATGTATCTCAAGTAAACATGAGTAAAAGAAGGCTGTCAACGCCCTTATCGGAATATAAGCCTTCTGGCGCATACATGTAGTTGTGACAACATTAGGGCTATGTTGCGGCTTCATTGCACCAACATGTTGTGGCAATGATGCTGCATTAGTGTATTTCATATGCAAATTAGTTTTCTGGCACTGGTGCCAGAAAATACTGTGGCTTCGTTGCCGCAACATGTTGTGGCTTCAACATGTTCAATGCAGATATTGTTTTTTATTTTGTATGCAAATTAGTTTTCTGGCACTATTGCGCCACTAATGCCTTTAAATTCTGGCTTCCTTTAATTATTGACTTAAAAGGTAAAGTAACGTCTGACCAGGCAAGTTTAGTGGTAAGTATACCCGAGAAAAAGTTTTAACTCCTTTATTTAACGTTATGATTTTTTTGTGTGCTCAGGGTTATTATTATAACTTTTTCTTTTAAAGAAAGTAAAGTTCTGTCCTCAGAAGTTATTCCTATATGTAATGTACTTAATTTTCCCACATTGAGGAAAAGGAAAGTTAAAATGTGTAACTCATGAACTGTCAACATGCAACATCTATACCTTCAATAACACCAACATAATTTCCATGATCCCAACAGGAGCCCCTTCACTTCAGTCAAAGGTGTTGTGTTTTGTCTGATTAGCAATCTAAATTCGTGATTATACTACATTTTTTTCCAAACAAATAGCACTTTCAAGCCGTCTTTAGAGGGTTACAAAGACATAATTGACCAAACTTCTTTCAGCATGCTCTGTAAAATTTTAGCGAGGATTAAATTGAGAAAGGGAAGAGAAACCATGACTTATGTTTCAGAAGGTACCAATTCGCCCCATTAGATGATAGTTCGTCCCTGTTAATTTGGATTTTTTGAAAATGCTCTCCAGGTCTATCAGGAAGAAGACAATTTCCTTGATTTAATTAAATGAGAGATTGAACTTTTATATAATGCATTTAATTAATCAAGTTAATCTAAGTTTACATACAAGTCTTCACAATAACAGAACACCCAATTCTTCACTAAAATCATAAGCTCAAGCAATATATGGTCCACTTCTAACCCACCATCATGACCACAGTAAAAAGCTCAAACACTGGTGACATCATCAATGACATTATCAATGTTCTGGCTCTATTCTGGCATCATTTTAGTAGATTAAGAATGAGAAAATTATATGTGTGCTTTATGGCAACATTGTGGCGCTTTTTGTCATGAAAGGAAATAGCGCTGCACTGTAGCCAGAATGATGCTAGTGGCATCATTCAGCACTTATCCGGCATCAATTTTCTGGCAACCTGATCAGCAGCCGCAAAATTGCAGCATTGTTGCTGCAACATTTTTTATTTCATAAGGACCGGTATGAAATGATGTGATTATCATGTACAAAACCTTACAAATCTGGTAAAGGAAAGGAAACGTGAAACAGCATTCATGTTATAATTTTTGTCTCTCAAAAACAAGATTCAAAGAACTTCACATAATTTTATGTTTTATAGTTTAAAAAGGGGGTATTAAAGAAGTTCATATGGCTGTCACATGCTAAAAACAATAAGCTTAAGGTTCATAGCCAAATGGTAGACAATATTAACCCTAAGGTTTTTTTTGTTTGTTTGGGGTTTTTTTTTGGGGGGGGGGGGGGGGGGGTACCTGACAGCTGCATTTGATTTCTTTTTTATAAGAGGTTTATCACTGTATCTTTTTTAAAGAAAACTGGTATTAGGTAAATAGTATCTACTTACATGTTCCAATAGGAATGAAAATGCCTGTCTTTGTAACAATTCTTTGAAACATCTCGGGTGTAACATGTCGATCCACTGCTTTTGTAGTATTATGATATTTCAAAATGACATTTACTGAAGGCACACCACAATCTTTCCTTCTATATTTCTTGTTAGTTGTTTCGATGATAATATTTCTATGAATATCACAGATCCTCAGTTGTGACGTACAATGTAATGTCAGATTTAAGTAAAGAAATTTCTGACAAAAATTTATACATGTCTCTTTTTCCAATGGAAGCATTTTCAAAAATACCTGTCGTCACTGCAGTTGTCACAATTGCCTACGAAATCTTTTATGCTACACATTTTATAACAATTATTCGAAGATTATATAAATAAATACATTAAAAAAGTTAGTTACGGTAAGCAAAATAAACTATAAAATACACTGTCTTAGTACAGACACAGTTCCATTGTTCTGACAATATTTTCAAAATATGAGCAAATCACACCAACTTAACCATATATATAAGTGTAGGCTAACATCACTGTGAAAAATTTATCCATTTCCCATTATGCTTGAATATAAAACATGAAGAAATTCGCAAAATAACATTGTTGTCTGCATTTGTTTACATTTTCCCTCCTGTTTTTAATTTGTTTCTCTACAAGAGAACTCCGTTTGATTAGGTAAATACAGGACAACTCAACTTTTCAGGGTCAATTAATTTCAACACAGTCAAGTTTGCCCACTGATTTTTTTTCTTTTCTTGTATAACCTTAATCCATTCTCTCTATTCATATAATCAACAATATAAGAAATGGCTGCATTTTTTTTACAACACCTGATCAAAATAGGCTCTAAAACCCCCCTTTTATTGCACTTTTTACCCTATTTTAGCTATATAGATTATTTTTTAAGAAAGTTTACTGTTGAACACAATTTTTATTTGTTTTTTTTAAATTGAAAAAAGTTTTAAATGTCTGAATATCTATATTATTTTCTTTTTATTAGACACAATTGATCATAATTTGTAAACACTGCATTTTCCCTTATTCTTGCCACTTTAAGTCCTGTTACCAAGGAAACGGTAAACATATGGGGCTAAGTGTAATAATATTTTTTGTTAAGCTCATGTGGCTCTATTGAACTAATAAAGTTTAAAACAAATATTTTTTAGTGCGTGCCGAAATATTTTGGTGATTACAGAGAATTGCTCTTAATAAGCATATATCGTGTAAAACATTTGCAAAATAACCAAACATACGGAGGTTGAGACATGACATAAAGACAGATGTACATATTTATCATGTTTATGTTTAATATGCCTACCAAAATAACCCCCCCAAAAAAAAAACAGAAAAAACAATCGCACACAGGCTGAAACATCATGACTGGAAATTATGTCTTTTGTTATTGTCCATCAGCACAAATACATTTCATCAGATGTCTTTTCCTTTTCCATTTTTTGTGGCCTGGTGTTGTCTGGTTGCTGTGTTATTGAAGTACAGACTACTTGCGGGATTTTCATTTTACTTTGGGTACTGAAAGTGTGTGTGTATATTTTTTTTTAGTAGATATATATTATTAGTATGATATCGACATGATCGATAGAATCTTGTTCTCAACCTTAAAGTTTTATGAGTAAAATAGAATTGAGAACAGTTCTATTCTATATTTGAAATGCAACTTTAGGGTACAAATTTTTATTTTATTTCAGTTATTTTTTTTTTACCATATATATAACAATTTCCTTTGAGGAGTCACCCATACGAATCAATACTTAGAAAATTCTTTTCTGAGGATCCACTGAATGTTCTTTTATTAGGAAAATATATCATGTATAACTCTTCAAACCATATTCTATTTAAACTTGATTTATTTAAGGATTTGTGTTCTATTTTTAGCTTCGAAACTTTCCACAAAATTGCGGACGTGAAAGAAAACACCATTACAAAAAACGTTAGAATACAAAATGTAGCGATGGATCTCAATGATTGTGAAACATCATTTTTTTTTTATTATTTATGTGTTATAGTCTTAAAAATTATGATGTATGAATATTAAATGAGTGTCACAATCGTGAAGACGGTTAATGTAAGATCATGTAAAAATAAAATCGTTTTGTGTCATCTGTTTCAAGACTGACTGACGCAGCTGAGAATTTTATGTGGTTTATTTCCTTTTCTTGAATTTGAAAATATTTTTACTTGTTCCGACTGGTGTAGTAATTTTCAAAAATGGGAATATCTTACCAAGACTAAGTTTAGTATTAATATCCCAAACTTGCATCCCCTTCTTCTTATTTTCTGCCAGACGATGTCTTTTCCCAGTGAATATAGGGTTTCTGTAGGGACAGTTTTGACATACTACATATAGAATACTTCCGAGACCACACTGTTTTCCTCATCACAATTATGTAGAAATAGTGGTGAGCTACAGTTTTTACATCATATCCAACTAAGTCAGACATCACGTGACTTTTGTGACGTATACTAGCCGCCATTTTGTATTATATTGCCCCATATAAAATGCATAGGTGCTTCAATAAAGTTGAGTTTTCTCATGAACCTGACCCGTTTTCTAACTTTTGCAAATCAATCCTTGATATTCAAACATATTTCTATCAAACAATGTTGGTCCTAACAGTTTAATATTTGATTAAATTCTGTCACTGGAGAATCGTAAAAACATGTACTTTTTCTCGTTATTTCTCTGTTGACTCAATGCTAAATTACCGATACCCATGTCTACTTGTATAACAAATAAAGAAATTCCGTTAATAAAAATAAAACTTTGCAACTCGATTAAGTATATTCAAACATATATCTGGCGAAAAATACTATTTAAAACAGTTTAATTTCTGGGCAATTTCGGTCAAAAATCGATTTAAAAAAGTGAATATTTCGGGATTTTTCAAAATGGCGGATGATGTATATGGAAATGTTGCATCAAATCGAGGATTTGTATAGTAAGACTTTCCTTGATTTAATTTAATTTTCATGTAGAATCTCTGATGTTTCTGTTATTTTCTTTGGTGATATTTCGATATGATTGATTTCAAAATTTATTGATTAAAAAAATATTATTTTAAGTGTGACACGGGAAAATTTTATTTTGACAGATATCCAGGATATACTGTTACCAGAAAATAGTTAACAATAAAATTTATAATAAAATTTTTTCTCTTCTTTTTTTAAAAGGTTTTTTTCCTGTTTTCTGTATAATTTATCTTTCTTTAGAAATATATTTATACATTCCTTTTAGAACAAAAAAATATTTACGTCCCAAGAGAGAAAAAAATCCCAACAATTATTATAGATAAATATTCCATACCTTCAAAATCCCATCACTTGACGAACAGGTGAACTCTGACTTTGGATGTAATGTTACATAACAATATATTGTCAGGTAGACGTGCAAACCAAAAGCAACCAGGTGACATTAAACATCCTGTGTATACATGTATTACCAGAGTTTAAATTTTGTGATATACAAAAGTTTTTATAACTGTACAAATAAATATCTTCTCTTCCCCGTGTCAAACCAGAAGAAGTATGTATCATAATAAACTTAAAGAAAATATGAATATTATAAAAAAAAATCTTTAAAAAAATAATTTTTGCTTTAAAAGATAATCAAACTAATATTTGTTTTTCTATAATTATTTTAAAGAAATATTTTGATTCAAATTTTAATTTAAATGGATTTTGTATTATTTCGTAAAAAATTAAACGAGATTTCATTGAATATGATTTTATTATTTATTTTTTTAATTCAATATTTTAAGCAAAATCCAGGCATTCAATAAATCGATATAAACTTGTGTAAAAAAATTTGTTATTGTATACATTTCAACAGAGACATATAATACAATTGCTCTGATTTCAACAACATTGTATACCCGACAATATTTATTGACAGAGTTATCGGTCCTGAATAGGACTGGTATAGTTGGGTATGTGTTTTAACTGGTCGGCAAGATATCCAAGCTCTACCACCCTACGTCCCTGACGCCAGTCAAGTTCTTGATTATCATCTTGAAGATCGTCTACATGACTTTTTTCATATTCATTTTCAAAATCCTGTAGCATTTTTTCGTCTTCAGTGTTAGCAAACACTGAGTTCATTCTCCTAGAAGTTACATACTTTCCATCAAATTTACCGTTGTCCCGTCGGAAAGTTGGCGGTTGCAACATTGCAAAATCTGGCCAAAGGGACGTAACTCGTACAAAACGTCGCAATATTTCGCGGAATCCGCAAGACGGCGTTCATTTGGAAGACTCTACGTATCACTAGCCTAGGGTAGTATGAATATTCATGAGTTGTATGAAGCAACGCGGGATACGAGATCACGTCATTGGCGCGATTATCTAATTTCACAGACCTGTCAGCAAGCGGAAAACAGAAATATGTTCAGAAGTTCTTAGATATTTCCCAAGATGTAGGGCATATATCACTGGAACAGAGACGATACCAAAATAAGTATTTTGAATACTGAATCAGCTTTAGATATTGTGTACAAACACGGCATCTAGGCACTCAAAAGACGATTATTAAAAGGGGGGGTTACACGCAACGAATGCATACGAGGGCTGCCCTATGTGTTACATATGAAAACATACAGAAGAGCTATATTAAACCAGCGACAGTAACAGATCCAAATTTTCATTTAGAGGGGGGGGGGGGGGGGGGGCTGCTCCAGTCCATGGCATAGGGACTTCAGTCTTGACTACAGGTCAATTATATGTAATATATTATAGCGCTTCAATCGTCTACATACATTTAAAAAAAAACGTATGCCCCTACTGTAGTCATATCACTAGCCTAGGGTAATAGTCAATTATCTGGAATGACCAGTTAACAAAGTCATATCACTAGCCTAGGGTAGTGGTCAATTATCAGGAGTGATCAGTTTACAAAGTCATATCACTAGCTAAGGGTAGTGGTCAATTATCTGGAATGGCCAGTTTACACAGTCATATACTAGCCTAGGGTAGTGGTCAATTATCTGGAATGACCAGCTAACAAAGTCATATCACTAGCCTAGGGTAGTAGTCAATTATCTGGAATGACCAGTTAACAAAGTCATATCACTAGCCTAGGGTAGTGGTCAATTATCTGGAATGACCAGTTAACAAAGTTATATCACTAGCCTAGGGTAGTAGTCAATTATCTGGAATGACCAGTTAACAAAGCCATATCACTAGCCTAGGGTAGTGGTCAATTATCTTGAATGATCAGTTAACAAATTCATACCACTAGCCTAGGGTAGTGGTCAATTATCTTGAATGACCAGTTAACAAAGCCATATCACTAGCCTAGGGTAGTGGTCAATTATAAGGAGTGATCAGTTTACAAAGTCATATCACTAGCCTAGGGTAGTGGTCAATTATCTGGAATGACCAGTTAACAAAGTCATATCACTAGCCTAGGGTAGTAGTCAATTATCTTGAATGACCAGTTAACAAAGCCATATCACTAGCCTAGGGTAGTGGTCAATTATCAGGAGTGATCAGTTTACAAAGTCGTATCACTAGCCTAGGGTAGTGGTCAATTATCTGGAATGACCAGTTAACAAAGTCATATCACTAGCCTAGGGTAGTAGTCAATTATCTTGAATGACCAGTTAACAAAGCCATATCACTAGCCTAGGGTAGTGGTCAATTATCA